AAGTAATGTTTTTTATAGCAGAACAGCATCTGTGATAACCCACAGCCATACTCAGACACTGTGGAACTTGGCGGCAGATTCACCGCTAAGATATAAAACACATGACGAGCACGTAGTGACATCAAAAGGAGTGCAATGTAATGGTGTTCAGATGTCTCCCCTCAAGCCCACACAAAAGCTGCTCTTAGGGCTGCTCTAGCTCGGAACTCTCAATGATTCCCTTTTGACAAGCCTGTTGTTATCAAATCCAAGGAGTCTTATGAGCAGCACCTCCTGACTTTGTTCCTTTACTAACTGGAGAGCATGAAGGCTTCTTCTGTTGCCTGAAAGACGTGTGAAGGTTCAGGTTTTAGACCTCAAATCCTGTTTTTACTTCAGAAGTTGATTGCACAAGCGGACAGTGAATGAGTGTCTCCATTTCCCTTGCGGTCAGAGAAGATCCTATTCATACTGAGTTTACAAGCAAACACTTCCTTTGGTAAGCTTCCCATGCAATTCAATTCATGTTCGTGCTTTCAGGCTCTGTCTTTGGGTCTGGACTAACATCAGAACAAGCAAAAGAGGCAGGCTTTCTTCTCAGCCCACCACAGCCTTTTCTGCAGTGCTTTGAAATGATGAAACACACTGTTTTCTGCACACTGCTGCAGTCCTGTCAAGTCACTGGTATTATTCATGCATCAAGAGACTAAGCACATACATGGGTATCTACTGGATGATGTACACCCATTCCAGAATTTTACTTGCTTAACCATCAATCTAATGTTTTTGCTCTTTATAGTTACTGGCTGGGAGCCTAGAATCTGCTGGCACCTACACACAGGATTCTCCTCTGAGCATTCTGTGACCATGTCAGGTGTTTGAAATATTATGCATTAACAATAATTACTTTATGACCAGCAAATAAATTATTATTTATGGAAGACTTGGAATTTGCAGTCAGTACTAGTCTGTATCTGCAATGAGGAGCCATCAACTTATGGCTTTGGCTGTAGAAGACCTGACCTTGGAATATTCTAGCATTTTCCATGCTCCAGGAAGCACTTTTGTAAGTGCATCTTCTTCACTGTATAACAGGACACTATCCATTAGGCAAATGTTTAGTTAATGGACACAGCAGGATCCACACATGAAGATTTTTAGGGAATGTGAAGATTAAGATTCACTTGAAATGGCAGTGAAACTTCATTAAGTTGCACAGTGAATTCTAAGCTAGTTCTGACCACAATACTAGAGCACAATACTTGAGAAAAATGTCATGAGGTACTTGTGACCACAGGTAGGTAAGACCTTTGTCATCAGCCACTCATGAGGAAACATGAGTATTCAAGAGGACATTGTCTAAAATAAGGCAGTGTGTTGGCCTTGGCTGTTGAGTCATCAGTATCACTTCCTGCAGCCTCTGCTTTTGCTCTGGGTATATCTCAAGGGAGCACTGACTTAGTATTTTTGATTCTTCTAGAATGAATAAGATCACAACTCCAGAGAAGTAATGATGAATATGTCCTTGATTCAGAGGAATGTGCACTCCTGTTAGCACAAGTGTGCTAAATCTTCCATGAGATGCCTGCCTGATTAGTTTTTATCTTCTTCACTGATTTGAAAATTTCAGACTCTCTAGTTGTAAAATGGAGAATTCATAGGAAGAATCTGTTCAAGTGAGAGAGCGAGCTGTGTTAATAGGTTGTGCCTCAGGGTGCCACTGAAAGCTGTTGTATGTGGATCTCTCTTGCCTTTTCTTTAATTCAGTATTTGCCTAGACATTTCTTTAATCCTTCAAAATACTATGTGGAACTTCTCTAGCAGAGACAGATCCTTCTCAGCTACACTGAGGTTTGCTTCATTTGTAAAGCACACCTTATGGAAAAAGAAAAAAAAATCCACCTGACCTCTGAATTTCTTTTTTAAAATATCATTGCAAAATTTCTGACGTCAGACAATGAGACACAAATTACCCTGTGAACTGTTAACATATGCCTGTTTACATATGATATCGTATAGCCAAAGCAGATTAAGATTTGAAGGTTTAACTGCTGTTGAGTTTCCACTTCTGTGAATCATACAGATCATACAGCTTATTCATCACAGGCGCTTATTTTTATTCTTTAACTCTTTCAAGCTACTTCTTCCCAGAGCAGAGTTTAGGGGAGACATGGGGTGCATGGGAACAGAGAGATCACAGCTGCACAACAAACCCTGAACTTTGCAAATGAAAGAGCAAAGAGCTGCCATTAACTGCAGCCACCCCAGTGAATCAGTAGTGGTTTGTATCTTGCACCAGGTGAGCTGACAGGCACAGAAACCTTCCCCAGTTGCCAAGGTTAGTCTGTCCTCCACATAGTTAAATGCCACCTGCAATGGATGCTGATGGCCAACCCTGGAATCCTTCAATTTAAGGAAGAAAATTACTTGTAAGAACCAACAAGAGAGAACCAGCCATGACAAAATCAACAGGATGGCTCAAGTTTCAGGTTCAAAGGAAAACAAAACACCATTCATTGTACTAGGATTCCTTGGATGCTATGTTATAGTTTAAATTCAGAAATGCCAAACGTTTTGGTGAGAACTTCATTCATTTCAGTAAACACAGCCAGTTTATTCTAGCACTTGAACCTGTGTGGTGCATCACTGATTCTTATGGAACTCAAGTACTCTTACCAGCAACCCTGACACAAGTGAATGACTATCTCTCTTTTTCTGGATAACATGGCCATATTTTAAAAAAGGCATCTCTGCTGATAAAAGAAATAAACCTACCTCTATTTAAATACACATGCCTATTCGCCTCAGATATGATTGTTAATAAAGCTAGGCAGCTGCCAAAAATCAGTCCATTTCTTTTAGGTGAAACCAAGAAGGATTTCAGAACTTAGGCTGCACTTCACTTGCTGCTCAGGTGCTCTGATTCACTGACACTGCCTGGCTTAGGCTAGCAAAGGGGAGAAGGAAGATGAGGTATTTTAAAGCAGGAATATGAACATCCAGAAATACCTTTCCTCTTAGAGTGGCCGTAAGTGACTGTTTGCCTATTTGTTCTTCTCATTTAAAGTGTTGCTTCAGATTTGTTTGGTTTTTTCTCCCAGCTGCATCATCTTAAGCAGGCAGTTCACCTTATTACTTGTGGATTAGCTAACAGAGGCTGAGTGCAGCACTGTAATGGGTCAAGCCTCTTTTTCACGTAGGACAACAAGGTGTAACCAAGACAGCAATCTCCCTCACAGCATTACTCACTGGAACATGAGGGCAACGAACCATATCAGGAACTGCAGCAATCCAAGGCTATACTGGTACAAATGCCACAGGTAGCAAACCAAACCTGCTGCCACCAGTTTGTTGGTAGGAATCTGGGTATAATTTACCACTTATAATGTTATGTGTTATTGGAAGGCACTCAAGCAACCCTGACACCTACACAAACTGAAGGTGCAACACATGTGGCCATGGAAAATGCATATACATCTTTGCATCTGAAAACTTGGGAGGCTGGTTATCACTAGGGGTTGAATTAGATCCAGGAGGACACTCTCAGTGCACTTCTGCCAGAAACTGCAGAGCTTGTTTAACCAATGCAAGTTTCTATTTCAGACTGTTCTGTCTAGAAATGGTTTGAGAATAAATTTAACCACAAACTTAAAGGTGAAACAAAAAGGACATCCTCCCCCCTCCCCCCCCATTTTTAATTTTTTTTTTTTAATGCTATCATTAACATCCTCCCTTGTGACATTTAAATGAAAATTGGTGACCCACCTTAAAAACTATAGGTTTGCACCCTGAGGTATCTTAAAAGGGACCTGATTTTACACACAGAAATACAAACAAATACATACTGCTCAACCATCCCCCAGTCCCTTTCAGCTATTTCTGCTGGACTTCTGTGGCAGAAGCACCCATGCTCACTGCTGAGTTGGGAAAAGATGAACCTCGGGGGTTTAGACCACATAATGAAAATTAGCCAGCCAATTCCCATTAAGTGTTTTGAACACAAAAACCCAGTGCAAGTAATAATGTTCAGTTCTCTTTTTCAGCTATGAAATCAGCTTGCAGATTAATATTCTTCAATTACAAAATAACAATTTTCAGCTTGAAGTGGTTTGTGCTCTTAAGTGCAATTGGGGTTAATAATGGTCTATGAAAGGAGAGCTGTTAGCAAACAGTAACCCAGAGTGAAAACCTTAGCATATGGGTACCTCAGCTACGTTTTACAAGAAATGTTGCATTGTACGTTCTGAAAAAATACATAAGAAAATACCTAGCCCGTTAAGGATCCCAAAGCTCAAAGAAACCTGTATTTTCTGCTTAACATATACCAAGAGATAATTGCCATATGACTGCCAAGGCAGCTCCTTTTACCTATGGCTATTTCTAACTCATGTATATATATATACCTCATCTGCCTGATGTGTTCAGATCAATTTAGACAATAAATAGTGTCACAAAGTTTAAGTTCTTTTCTGTATCTGTGCCTGAAAGCATAGATATCGGAAGCTTATATAAAATTAAATTAACTGCTTTTCAATCCAAGGCATATGGTTACAATATATTTGTACTATCTAAAATTTAGTTATTGGAATACTTCTTTAAATAATTGTAGTCTTCTAGCCTACAATATTAAGGTAAAGCCTTCTGGGACTCCCAAATGCAAAAAAAAACCTGAATTAAATGCTTCTGAATTTCAAAAGAAAAGCCCAAGTCAGGGAAGAGAGTTCAAAAATTATAAAAACAAGGCCAAGATCCTCAAAGCTGAGTGGCTGTTCTCTGTGGCTAGAAACAATATATAAGCATGCAGAACTTTCTGAAAATTCATCTCCAAGGTTTGTGTTAAAACATGGGCATGGTCTCAGGCAATGAAAATCCTTGGTCACAGTGCCCTACTCCAAGCATTCCCAGAAGTTACAGAGACAGGAACAGAACTGTCTGCAGTATAGAGCAAAACACGCATTATTACATGCTGGCAGGATCTGCATCTCTAATATGCTGAAGAAACTAGCACACTGACAAGGAAGTTTAAATGCTGCAAAACATGCTTTATTTATCAAATGCAAGCTTTTAGAAATTCAGTAAGGTAGAAAAGACCCAAACAAGTTTAACTGGAATTCCTTATAGTCCTGAGTTCAAAAAATGCTTTCAGTTACAGCAGAGGCTAAACTTTGGCTATAAATGAAACATTTAACAATTATTTAGTTATAAATGAAACATTCAACAATTATTTACCTATAAATGAAATATTTAACAAATAACAATCAGTTATACAACCTATTTAGAATCAGCAACTTATCTCACAAGACGTCTAATAACAAATTTTCTTTGTGGCAGTAGCATACTCAGCTCACGTGTCCAGTGTTGACCAGCTTTGTTTATTCTGACTGTCAATCATTCTTTTAAGTGCTTCATCTGGTACAAGATCTGATCCTTTTACATCAACATAGCTACAGCCCATATTAGGGCATCTGTTAGAAAGAAAAGAGAAAATTCATTGAATTGGAAGGTTTGTATTTGTCAGATAAAGGCTTTTGCATAGTATCTGCTAGTTTGTTGGGTTTTTTTATGGGATTCACTCTTTCTGCCAGTTCCTTGTTACCTCTTGTCCTCTTCACCAGCTCTACATAGGGAAAAATAAATCTATCCCAACCGGTGAGAATCATCAGCTGAAGGAAGGAAAGAAGGAGCACAGTGTTTCCCCTGTTGATCACTCTCTTGCTTCAAGCACAGAAGCTGCCTTCATCAGCAATGATATCAGCACTGCATGGACACCTTTCTGTGTTGCTTTATCTCTCTGCAGTCCTATACAAACTGCAGGTAAATACCTCTTACCTTACTAATATGTAGTGGAGAAGTATAATCTTCACTGTTAGATAAGTAGGGAAATTATTTTCTAGGGAAACAAATAAAAGGGAATGAGCCTTGCCATGACTGACTGGTGAATCAGTGGACTATCTAGTTGGTGTAAAAATCAACCTGACCTTTTATGAGCTGTGAAAGCTCAGAAAGGAGAAATGGGGTCAAATTAACAGCCTCTAGAAGACAATCAAATACAAAATGTCTTATAACTACTTGAAACAGCCAGATAAAGATACCAAGGTGAAAGATATTCAGGGACCAAAGGTCATTTTCCTTTGGTGGTGGCCCAAACATACAGATGATACCTCTAGTCAGAAGGAACACTTTTCCTGAATTTTTCCTTTCTTCAAGTAACTTTTTCCTGAGGTGCTGAACTTATTTATACTCAGTATTCGTGAACATTCTACTCCAGATTCATCCACAGCTTACTGTGTTTGTCATAAATCAGTCATTTAATTGCTCTGTGCCTCAGTTTTCCCATTTATCACCTTAGCAGAGCAATAGCTTGTTGGATTAATGAATAACAAGTGCTCAGAAAGCTTCCCACATTTCCTGTAAGCATAAAGTATTAGTATGTCCTTCCAGGCAGTGGAAAATAGTGAGCAAACCCAGAGACGTAAGAGTTGCCTCAAGGAGTGTGTGACAAATCTGTCAGCACAGGGCTGTGTGTACGTCAGCTGAAGGGCTGGCAGGCAGGCACTGCACTGCCAAGGGCACTGAAGGGATCCCGTGGATTCCAACTGGGAAGTACTTGTGAGGAAACAGCCACTCTGTGTCTCCAGAGTGAGCAACAGCTCTGAGTCCAGAGTCAGAATAGTGAGGGATCCTGTGGTCATGCCCTGCTCTGCCAGGACACCTGCTCCCATAGGAGTATCCCTGGCAGGAGCACAGCCCAGCAGCCACACCATGGGATTGGGATACTGAAACAGGGAACTTATTGGAAGAACTGGCCTGTTTTCCCACCACAGCAGATGATGGGTTTTCAAAATAACTGCATTTTCATAAGAAAGTTTGAAATTACGGTAGATTGGTCAGACTGGGCAGAGAAAACCAAGGAGTCCTTAATTTAGTTACAGAGAAGCTGTGGAATTGCTGTATGTGTGATTTTCTAGCACTGGAATAACTGCTGTAAAAATGGTAAGGCTGCAAGCTAAAAGCTGAATATTAAGAACTGCCAGTGTTCAGACTGCACAAATAATTTCAGTTTGGGTATAAGGTAGGTTTTAAAGCTAGGTGTGTACAGCTGATATGATTTTTTTAAGTCCAGAGCTTCTCTATTCTTCCATTTCTTAAAAGGTAAAATAAAATTCAATCATGTGAACCTATTTGTTTTTCAGCAGACCTGAAACTTTTGATCCACTACAACAATTTATCCTAAATTGAAACTATTCTGATGGATTTAACAACAGAGAAATATTTAGATACGAACATCCTGAATTCAGTATCACAGAAGGTATTCTTGTCATTGGGCAGCTGAGCACATGCTTTTTAGCCTCTCCCTATCCTCCAGAACACTCACTTTCTTCCAACTTGCGAGCTATTTCCCAACTCCTGTTCATTTTTCCAGCCAAGTTTCTGTCCATCCATGTTGCTGGTTTTGTTGTTATTCCCAGTATATTGCACCCATTCCAGATTTTTCCCTAGACGTCGTAACAAAAGCAAGGTACTTCCATCTTGTTCTTCAAGCTATCTTGACACTGAGATAGTGGCTGGGCATCCCAACTGATGCTTGGTTTTATAGCAGTGCTTTCCTGTAGCTGGGAAGGAGCATGGAATAAAAACTCCAGCTCCACCTTTGTAACCCCCATGGAGGACTGTGTAGAGTCTGACAGAAATGCCAGAGCAACAGATGGAGGCAATAAGCCACCTGTGGCATTATCTTCAGGAAAATCAGGTTGCTGGTCTCTGACAGACCTTCCTGAGCAAACTGGACTTCTTATTAAGAAGTCCACAACCGTTAAATTTCCATTTCCACCAGCCCCAGAGCAGGAGGTAAAAACAAATGTGAAATCAATCATAAGATGATATGTCCTCTCAACTTGCTCCAAAAAGCATTTGTATTCAATCCTCTTTTCTTTTTCCTCTTTTTTTTTTTTTAATAATTCTCATTTTCAAATTTACTGTGGAGAATTTGAGGTTTAAAAATTCAACTGTTAGATCTTTCCATTCAAAAAATACATCCCATGTGGAAAAGTGGCAGACTATTTTGATGATATAAGGAAAGAATTATTTAACTGCATCGTGATAGGAACTGAACTGCATTATCTGATCTCATTCCTAAATTCTGTTCTATCTAAAATGTTGTGGTTTAATATTTCTTACTTTAACACTCAGTTGTTTTCATATTTCTGAGCTCCATTGGAATACAACTGCAAAAGAAGGTGCATGGAGGAAATTTTTTTTTTCATTTACTTCAAGGCTTGCTGCATAAGCAGCAGGAACAAACCAGCAACTAAAATTTAGGAAACTGAGGTCTCTCTTTGTTGGTCATGGCTATAAAAAATCTCTTTACTTCTGTTGTGCAGCCACAAGTAGCTGTTATTTCCCCACACAATTCCTGAGTATTTCCTTACACATTGTTTTCATTAAAAAGAAAAGCACCTTCACATGTCGAGTACTAATGAGGAGACTGTGACTTGGGCAGATGCTGAGGTTTTACTTCCTGCAGCCTTTCCAATCCAAATACATTTCCTAGAACAAGTGGAGTAAAATTCCACTTACACAGCAAAGCAAACAGCCTTTCCACACATTCTTTTTAGCTTACCGGACTTTTTTCTTTTTCTGCTTTTGAGTCTGGATCATTTCTAGAATGGCATCTTCTTCATAACTATGTCCACAGACTTTGTTCCGTACTGGCCTCTTCATTGTCATCTGTAATGAGTAAGGACTGATTTAAAGGAACTGATGATGTCCTTGAAAATGTTTCTTCTGAGATTTTATGTGAAACAGCAGGAAATGTTTTTGCCACTTATACATGGCATTCCAGTCAAATTAAGGGATGAGGTCCTGCTTGGTAAATTACATTCCTACTTACATGGGTTTTCCTCCCCAAGCAGTATTGCTCTTCTCTAATAATGCTTAAAATTGATACGATTTTGCTGTTAAATATAATGTTGTTTAACAGGTACTGCAAATTTGTAATAAACAAACCAATGAAGAATATGAAATAACTATTCCCTGTCAATTACTGTAGCAGTGATACATACCTGTGTAATGGGACAAATAAAGTTTATCTGACTCCGAGTTACAGCTATATCTTCATCAATTTGTTCAATGGTGTCCTTATCATGATCTGATTTATGAAAACATAGAATGGGAAAAAAAGAAAAAATATGTTTCTTATTTAATGTAGATTGCCAATACTTAAAATAAGCTAATAAAAGTCAACATTTGCCAAGCACTATCTCACATGTGATATCTAAAATATCACAGCATGTTTCTGCACCACTCCATGAACAAGACACCGAAAAAAAGCCCTGTACTATAATGTCTTTTAGAAAATGTGGATTTTTATATTGTAACAAGTTTGTGTGTGTGTGTGTATGGCTATCTACAGCCAAGAAAGAAAGGCTGGGAAGGAGAGCAGGCTGTCCTGAAGATCTGCGATTCAAGTTCATCAAAACCCAGTAACACACAGGTGAGTCCTCAGAACCTAACAAAGGAGGAGGTGAAGCAGATCTGGCAGTCCTACCCTCAGTATTAGCTTGTGTTTGAGTGTCATAAATGGGCTTTCTGCATAGCCTGTATATACTGTACACACTTAAAAAGGAATTTGTACCGTTTATCATAATGCATCATTTATAAAGTGATGCTGCTGTGTTGTAGTGCATTTAAAAATTATGGTATGTCCCAAGGGAAGAACTCACCCTTGGTTTTGTATAATGTCAGTCCTTACCTAAAGCTCCCTTTCCCTTCCCCTGTCCCATTGGCTGTAACTCCCCTGTATTTTTGGCCACCCCCTCCCCCTGGTTTAAGAGAGAGCACCCAAGGCATTTTGGCCTCTTTCTTGCCCCCGGGCGAACCACGTACAATAAACCAGGGGTCACATCATGCAAGTCTGAGCCTCCTGTGTCTAAGATACTCTGAGTCTGTGTTGTGTATATTCTGAAACCCCTTCCAGCCCGTGTTCTGTGAAGGGCAGGCACCTCTCCACAGGGCGTAAGAATGAAGGGGTTCACGGAATAAATACAACACTGCTGTATTTTGCTAAAACTATAATTAGTGAAAAACAAAACCTAAAAAGTGTCATGGACAATAGAAATGTTATTGAAGTACCCTTAAGGAGGAGGGGCAGAACGAAATACTGACAATTCCCAGAAAACACCCAGTGGCCTAATGCCAGGGAATGAAGGGCAGATAAATGAGAATAAATCCACCTAGAGCTGGAGGAGCTACAGGTCCTCACCTATAGGAAGGAAAAAGCAAGGTATAAGCAACTCTGTGCACCCATGGGCACACCAACCAGTGTTCCATGCAGAAGTTAGCCAAAGTCAAAAGCTGAGACACTTTTGGTGCAGCTAAGGAAGAGACAAATATGTACATATTTATATATATTTAGAACTTTACACCTCCCATAGCTTTCCATTCCTTTGGGGTAGTTCTGCAATGCCTTTGCAGAGGTAAAGAAGGGCCCTGGGGTGCAGTCCTCAAGGTGTCTCAAGCAAAGAGAACATTTTTCTTTCTAGCTGGACAAGCTGAACTCCAAGGGAGGAGTGAGAAACACAAGCAAACACAGAGAGTTTAGAATTACTTCATGATTTGCCTTCTACAGTGTCTCCCTGTGCTGTTCCCTGTGCTGCTGTTGCACACTATCAGCTAATCTTTGCATCCCTGGTATTCAGTCTTCCACATCTATTAAGGACCAGTGTTTCCTAACTTATGGTCAATCCTGCATGCCTGTGTGATACCATCACCTTCCGGATGATACCAGCAGACATCACCCGTGGAGCAACCAAAACCTCTGACACCCAGCCTGGGCTGAGCTCGCTGCCCCGTGAGCCAGCACAGCTCTGGCTGGGGGACTCTCGGCATTGATGTGGCAGCCATCACTCCACCACAGCACCTCCTGGTATGCCAGACCTGTTTCCAGACCTTCCTCCTTAACAGAGCTTGCCCTTCTTTCCATTTCAATATTCAAGCATTTAGGAAAGTTTCTGACCCAGGTGCTCTGACCCCAGGTATTGGGGTTAGAATTAGATGACCTTTAAGGTCCCTTCCAACCCAAATCATCTTAGGATTTTACTCTTATGAATACCACAGGGATACTCAGGCAATCATCAAATATATTTCCATGTCTGCTACTAAGGTCAAATGCAATCAACAGGGTGTGGATTCTGGGGGAGAATGAGCTCAAATGTCCAATGTCAATCATAATTTCAAGGCTTCAATCTCCAAGAATATTAACATACCTTCATCAGATACTGACCACCTAACAAAGGCAAACACTTGAAAATCAGAAGGAAAAAGTGGGCACAATTTAACTATAAATACCAAAACTGCAATGGTATGGGCACCAGAAATAGTCACCAGTTTCCAGAAAAAAACTCTATCACATATATTATTCTTAGATCATTCATATATATAGTTTAGTCTATAGTATTTGAAGAAAGTAAAACTTTTGGAGAAAAAAAATTGTGTTTTTGTTTTAAAAGAAGGTTTTGAAATACAAAGCAATGGCTGAAATCCCACTAAGACACCAAGACTAAGAAATACTGGAGTTACTGGCAGGTGGCAGCTTTGGCATGGGCTGTTTTACTTCAATATCATAATGATTTTTTTCCTCCAAGGAATGCCAATAAAGAACAAGAGATTCATATTGTCCTTAAATTCACGTATTTGCAAATTGTGACATACTGCAGCTCTAATCTTTCCTGTGGAAAACATCACATTTTTATGTGTTGTACCTAGTTTCAACCCATCAGCCTGGCATGAAATTCCAGAGTACCTGAGCATCATGTCAGTCAGTGACATTAAATGGCACCAGTAATAGCAAGATCTAGGACAGGGGATTCCTTACAAAAGGTGTTTGTTTTAAATCACTATATAGGTGTCAAGGAAAGTGGGTGAATTTTTAAAATGTGGGGCTTATGCCTGTGACTTTACTTCTGAAGTCCAACACTGTAAGATATGCATATAAGTGCCTTTTTCTGGAAGAGTATTCACCTGTGGAGCAACTCCTGACTTTGCTAAAGAGTCACCACTTCCCTCATCACTTCTGTGTATGCTTACTTAGGTACTGACACAAGGATTTAGGAGACTGTAGTGAAGCATCCAAGTTCAAAAATAGGAGCTCAAGCTTGTGTACTGGTGTTTGAGCCTCCCCTGAAGACCTCAGGTGTTTAAATTATGTGAGCTAAATCTCAGGCTGGGGTAACTCTTTTTCCCATACTGGCTTTGGAGGTGATTCAGATGCCTCATGTTTAATGGTTGAAATTTCATGAGTTGAGACCTAATCCTTGTAGGTGGGGTATATTAATCTTCTTGGATTCAAACTGTCCTCTTGCTGCAAGTTTATCTTAAACACTTCAGGTTGCACTTCATTTGCAATAATTTTGTATACAGCCTATCAGAGTGGGGTCCTGGTTTCAAGAGGTGATCACAGCCCAAATGAATCATTATTTAAAATATTTCCTTTTCATAAGCAGCTAATATTTTTAAAAACAAATATGCAAGACTTGGATGATGCAAGTAATACCTCAAGCATGTCAATAGCAAATTAGCATAAATCAGATAAACCACCCACAGATTTGTTGTTATTGCTTGATGTTCTACATTACAGAAGAAAGGAAAATAACTTTTTTCAGTGACAGTAAATTTTGCACAGATTACACAACACACACACATATATACTAAGCTGGTCAGAAAGATGGTCTGAACTGTAGATCTGTATCTGTAGCCTCATATTGCAAGATGTTTTCATTAAGGTCAAAGGGATTTTTTACCAAATGAAATGTATAAAAATTTGGTGGATCTAAATTTCAAGTCTGACTGTACTACAGAAAGAAATAAAAAAACTGGATCATACAGATTTCAGCTAAGTCAGGTTATATTTTAATAAAATTTAGTTTTCTTTGCAAATTAAAACCAGATGCAGAAAACACTAAGTTATTGTTCCCAAAATTCAGATGTTGCCTTAAGTAACGGAAGTGCATACGTCTATTTTGGTAGTCTGAAAGATCACATATTAAGAGCCTTAACAGTTTCTAGTTTTCCATTCCAGCCAACTGAAACATATTATGAGTATTAGTAACACATTTTCTATCTGTCTATCTCAGCAATGATGTTTACAGCTGTTGTAATAAAACTGCATTCTTATAAAGGTATCTATTTTTGGTAACACATCATAATGAATATTACAACTGCCAGCTGTTTTTTTACTTATTCTATTTTAATTAAAAGCTGGTATTAATTTATATCTCTATCACTTTCATCTCTTGATAATATTGTGACTAACATGCCTTAGCTCAGTTTTTACTTTGCTGTGAGAAACTGAGAACTTTTAAGCCAACTTTTAAAAATAGAAAAACCATAGTGTAGAGACATTAACTGCTGGATTGTGAATTACACTAAGCATAGATAATATACATGTTAAAAAAACATGAGAGGAAAAATCCTCTCCACTGTCATTATTTCTACAACCAGGAGACTGCTGTCTGCTTACTGCTCCCAGGGTCAGCAATGCCCTCTCCCCAGTTTCTGTTTCTCTAACCTGGTTCTCAGTGAGTACATGTTGCAATGTAAACTCAATTGATTTCTTTCCTTTTGTGCTGGACTGTTCTGCCTTCTCACCTGCCACAGTCAGAAACTAATCCTGAGAATCAAAGGGCAATGTTAAGCATGTGGGATTGAGTCTTTGTAAGCCTGAGCCACCAGACAGACAAGGTCTTGGCTCCCAAGAGGGTCTATTGTACTGCTGACTCCATAGAAATAACAGCAACTCATCCAGGCTGGGAAAAATCCTATCTCTGAGAGCTCCAAGAAAAACATCAATGTTATGAGGACAAGTCAGATGCCAAGTGTTCCTGCCAGCAGGGCACAGAAAATAATGAAAGGTGGGGGAGGTGAAGGACATTGTCACATCTGAGAGTTGTGCTCTACGAGTCAGAAGGCATCTGGGGTGAGGAAGGGCCAGGGCCAAGTCTAAAGGAAAGACCTGACACTGCTGAGAACATCAGGTAATGTTTGGAAGTGGGTCAGCATGCCCATCACTGCTCGGAATTTGGGTTAGCCTTCAGTCCAGAGAGCAGACCAGAACAACTGTCCAGTGTCCTTCCTGAGGGATGGATCTGCAGTAAATGCTGTAGGAGTGAAAGAAAAGGGGAAGTAGAGAGTAATACCTTCCTGGCAAACTATCCTAGTCTCTAGCAATTTGTGGCCAGTTCCTGAGTCAGAGGTAAAATCTTCATACTTAATAAGCCCTGGAGTTTTCCTTCAATGCATTTGTCTAAACTTGGAGAGGGGAATTTTGGCCTGGACCTTTCAGCTTGATTAGAGACAGTTATCTCTGCTAGAAAGGCTAGCAACAGCTTAATTTTCCTTGAAAATTACTGCAGAGGCTGCAGGTTATAGTTTAATTTGATTTTTAAGAGGGAAAATAAGGTGTGCAAGCTACAGCTGCAGTCAAACAGTTCAAAGGCTTTGTGCTTTTTGCCAGAGGCATGCGATAGTTTAATTTGCCAACCAAGCCAAACGAGGCTTTGCATTGGAGTACATTACAATTTGATTACTTGCTGGTGTTGCAATACAAAGTTGATCTAAGGAAGGTGGCCTCTAACATGTTGCTCCAGATTGCAATTGCAAATTTACTTGCTTCTGCCCAGGCCAAGAAACTTGCTGGTAATTTATTGCCAAGGGCTTTGTATGTACCCTGTTTGACAGATACTTGTGCAAAAAAGCACATAGAGGTACATTTGGTCAATCCAAAATAAAATTACAATCCTTTTCCTGAAGTGTGAAATACAGGTTAGATGAATGTGTTAATGATCTTTTAGTTCCTTTACATAATGGTGGGGAAGGAAAGGATCATGTCTTGCACTAAACAGCAATCCTCTAAAAACTCCTTTAATGCCATCAAATTCACAACACTTGTATATTTTACAGTATTTTGTCCCACTAAGCTACAGTTATTTTAAAATACACTATTCTAAATGGAAATACTGTTCCCATTTTACCCTTTCACTAGTGGGTAGAGCTGCTTTATGCCAGTTTTCCAGAATGGCCTTTAAATCAAGAGAAACTGTGATATGATGGAAATGTTATTGGACAACTCTTGCAGAAATAAGGTAAGTGAAGGAGACTGGAAAACACTTGCAGCTAGATCCAATCTGCTGTTTAATATATTAATAATAAAATGTGGCTACAAATTTTTTGGGGAAAAAACCAAAAAAACAACAAGAACTCCAGAAAACCCTTCGAAACCAACTCACACACTAATCAAAGTGAGAAGACACCAACTTTTCCAACTTTAGATTTGAGGAAATTCAGACAGTTGTGCAGTGGGAACTTCTGTGCAGTAGAACAGAAAGGATATCTTTGATTATAAACCACATAACTCAAGCAATTTGGTAGGCAAACACATAGGCAGCTTTCTTGATCCTTCTGCTATTGCAAAGGAACATGAGAAAGACTTCAAAGTCCTTTGAAAACATTTTAAACTGCAGTTTCCTCATTGCTGCTACCTGGACTCGATCTGAAGAAGCTGCTGGGGGAGGTGAAGATTACCTAAAAATATGTCATGAAGGCTCATCAGTAAGCTCAGAGGAGCTACTATTTCTGGAAAACCTAAGGTGGCCATATTTTTCCATCTTAACTACCATCACCCACGATGACATGTAAACTTAAGAAGCAGGTTAAGTACCAGAGACTTGCTGAAAATAAACCAAACTGATAAAGAGACTGCTTAAATGACCAGGAAACTCTAGGTCTACATGAATGCGTGCCAGGCATGTGACAATGGAGCACAAGTGTTAAGGATGCCACAGTACGAGTGAAGCATGAAAACTGGAACATCTTATGAGGAAAAAATATATCAGACACAAGCTACTAAATTCCAAATATATGTAAAGAACATTTTTATTACTTGGAGCTCTCCTGCTCTTCAGAAGAAAAAAGGCTGAGCAATCATTGTCTCATGAAGTATAATGTATAAAGGCAATTGCTATGCTTAGAGAGCATCATTTCATATATCAGAGATGAGAAGAATATCACTCACATTTAAAAAATGAAGAAATTCACTCCAGACACATGAAAGAAAAAGTTGCAAAAGATGCAACCAGGAAAAAAAAAGCCTACCATTTCATTAGAAGATGAACCACTTTCCATTACTAACATTGTGGTCAGAATCTGGAATGTCACTGATGCAATGCTAACCATCAAATGACATGAACATGTAGGGCTTGCCTACACAGGGAAGTTGCAAAATAAGCGAGGGTGTGAATACAGAATGCATTAACTACTTGGCACTAACTCAGTGTGTGGACACTCCTATTCTGCACTAGGAGTGCCTTTTGGCTGTTTAGCCTAATCCACTTCCACACTGGACTTGAGGAAGGCATGGTTAATCCTGGGCTGGAGTAGTGAGAGGACAGCTGTTGGTACTGACAGCAGATGGGAGCCCATCTTTTTTTGCAAAAGTCCCTATCAGTCCCTGAATGGTCTATTCTGTAAATTCAACTCATATTTTCTCAGAACAATCCATTGCATGTATTCCCTACAAGCAGAAATCATGTCTGTGACATCTGTCAACAAAAGGTTACATCATGTATCTTGTAAGCCCTGTGGCTGGGAGTCACTTTGCCTATTTTAGTATGTCATTTGTACATTCTTGAAGACATTCACTTCTGAAAAAGTGAACCAGTGATAGATTTTCAGGTGGAACAAGCTTCTGCCAGAATATCCTCCTGAACAGAACTGTTCCAGGGTAACGGACAGAAAACAAAAGAGCAGTGACAGGGCAAGCAGACCACATAGCAGTGGTCCCTATCAGTCCATCCAAAAGGCTGCTACACCAAATGATCATACCCCTAGAAAATTATCACTCAGATTGCCATTTCAATCTGTCTCTTCACATTCTTCTCACAAGACTTTTTGACAAAGACTTCACTGTTTTCCTATTCTAAAGAGGTCTCTGAAAACACCTTAGAATAATGTGCCTTGGTGCCAGGAGAGTTGTGAATACAGACACATGGAGTTTGTCATGTGTTGGGGACACAGGCAGGAATATTTATAAGCTATAGTATGGGAGGGATGAAGCTCTAATACCTGAACATTAACCTGTTGGTTTTGTGATTGGCAAGAATGACAGAGACTCAGCAACTCTGAAACTGAAGAGAAAGCACAGGAAAGAGCCATCTGTCACCTTTGAGAACGGGCGGATTTATAGTACAGAAAACCAACTTCACTACTCTTTTCATCCAAAGGAAGGAGGGGAGAACAGATATGCTTCTCTGTACCAGAAGACTAATGTAAAATATTGCTCTTGAATAAAGACATGAATACAAATAATAAAATGTGAAAACAAAATGGCGGGAACAAAATACACTTTTTTTCATCCCCTAAATGTTGAAGCACTTGAAAGAAATATTTAGGTGCTATATTTTATTTTAAAATTAGTCTTAATGAGGACAGCATTTGCAGTTCTCTTCTTAGTGATGCATTTCAATACATCACAATGCTTTCTAAAATTCTTATCTACTTTCAGAATGAATTTACTTAATTTTAAAATGTAGCATCAAGTGAATATAATTCAATGTGCAGTGAAGCACTATATATATCCACATAACCTTTTGAGCTTTATTATTAGGATGTATAAAAAGAGAAGTTGTGTTCATCTCCCAAGTTTTTTAATAGAATTTTTTTTTTTTCCTGTATTTTGAGTATAAACTTTACCACTCCAGTTGTTCTGAATTCTGAAGCTTTGCACTGCCTGGAATGCCTCTGAGATAGCCTGGGTACTTCCTTGGGGCTGCACCTCCTGCTCTGCTCCTGCCTTGGTTACCAGCCCACAACCTTGACAACCTGCTTAGAAGAGGAATTTTTCTTAAGCAACAAATCTTTTTGTAAATTTGTAGAGGTACTAACACCCTTCTTCTCTTGAACATAAAGCACTATAGAAAGAGGTCAATTATACTATTGTGACCATTTCATCGGTGGAAAACTGAGGCACAGGGCAGGAATACATCCAGAACCACCAGCACCCTGTGTTAGACCATTGTCCTTCCCATTAGATCACACGGTCTTACCGCTCAGTAACTAAGGCTCTGAACAATTTCCAAATACATTTCTTAGTGAATGCATCAGTTCCACACTAAAAGCAAAAAATACAACACAGAAAAAACCCAGTATCTTCTAGTAATTGCACAATATCTGGTTGTTTATTCTACGAGATTCTACTTGTGCTGGAGAACACATGGTAATTTTCTATTAAGTCATACTTATAAAATAATATGTCTTTGCTAAACTACTTTAAAAAGAAAAGAAAAAATAATTCTTATCAAAACAAAATAAAAAATAAAAATGAGTTGTAGTCCCTTTAAGAGAGACTTACAGATTGGCCACTGTTCAATCATAAAACTGCATGGTTTTCATTTAGATTAAAGCAGGGTGATATATTGCCTGTATGTATACGAAGACATTCTGCATGAACTATGCTGTGCGCACTGAGCAAATCTTCACTGTAATAATCCTCAGTAAAATGTTCCCTAAAATAAACAAAAAGTGTTCCTAATCTCAGTATATAGAGCATCCTCCAAAATAATGTCATTGTTGGCTTGTGCACCCAAACATAATGGTGTCATGGGTTTGAGATGATTTTTCTCAACCTGTCCCGTGATTAGGCTTCTTGAGTGGCAGTCAGTAGGAAAAAATCCAATGCTAGAGCCCTGAGCTATAAATACTCATGGATTATAACTGCAGAGTCCTAGTACCTTCTGATGGTAATTAGTAGTTAATTCTAAGTCTGATTGATATTTATTTTAAATCCCTTCCTGTAGATTCTCATTTGCCAGGAGTGTAACTGGCAGAGTGCATCTTCTTTAACGCTACACACATCAGAAAACTCTAACCATTCTGTTGCTGTCATTTATATCACAAAACATGCACTTCTGATTTCACCTTGGCATTCTGCATTTCTAGATTCTAGACAATCTAGAAATGACTGTGCTTTATGGCAAACATGCTGGGATGACTGTGAGGGGCTTAACTAGGTCCAACACTAGGCAAAGTCTTTTAAACCCTCAAGGTCTCTGTATGCCTACACTTTCTTCTCCAGATCAGCTTTGATAGGGGAGTGAATTGGGACAGAGAAAGGACATGAACAGCCTCAGCACAGATGCACACAGCAGCAGAACTAAGAATGGAAGAGCAGGACAAGCAGAACAAGGGAAGCCAACATTGAATTGATGGGACAGCAGTTGCAGTGTCACTGGTGCTTTGTAACAGGGAAAACGAGTGCATGGCTAAATCACAGGGCATCCTGCACAATCTTCATCTTTCTAGCAAAGGAGTTAATGTTACACTCGTTATTTTAGTCTTATAGTTATTACCAGAATGGAGTAACATTATAGTTAACCTCTTAAGGACTATTAACTTCCCTTGCACTCTTTGGCTGGCACATCAGCCCTTGTAGAAACACGTACAATCCCTACATGATGCTGAGGAAGATCAAGGGTTTGTATCTCAAACAGTTTAATATAAATGAAATAATCAAACTGCACTAATTACAGAAGAAAACCAAAAGTTAATGCAAAAGAGCTACCCTAAGGAATCACCTTTTTGTCACTGCTTTCACATCAGAAATAAAGCACAGCCTTACAACCCAGAATTTAGTTTGGCTCAGTGTTACTGGGACTCTCTGGTTTGTAAAGATAATTTAAGATTCCTCCTTTCCTACACATTCAGATACAGCTAGTATAAATATGGGGGTGCTGAGTTCAGTAACTGGAAGGAATGGCAAACTTTTACGGACTAAATCAATATATAAAGGGGGATTGTAAGAAAGTTGGAGAGAAACCTTTTACCAGAGCCTCCAGCAACAGGACAAGGAGCAGAGCTTTTAAACTGCAAGAGGACATTTTTGATTGGGTGTGAGGAAGACATTCTATGAGTGTGATGAGACACTGAAACAGAGAAGCTGTGGATGCCCCATGCCTGAAAGTGTTAGATGGGTCTTTGAGCAGCCTGATTTTGTGGAATATGTCCATAGGAGAGGGGGTGGAACTGGATGATTTCTAAAGCTCTCTTAAACCCAAACCATCTATAGTACTTCCCTGATTCCAAGGTTTTATTTACAGATACTAGCCCTGGCAGGTAATAGCTCTTTGAAATAAAATACCACCTTGGCATGGCATACATGCCAATACTAGAACATGTAACATAATTTAGAACATTAAAATGAAAAGCACTTTTAGTAAAGACCAAAAAGGGAGTCTTTCTTTTGAAAAAATGGAACAATAGAAAATTCTAGTCACAGACAAATGATACAGTTTAGCTTACCCCACGACAAAACACACTCAGCTTTAACTGAAAAACAGAGATGATCATATACTTCCTAGAGGTGTCCTGCTAAACTTTTCATTGCAGAGCTAATCTAGGTACAGCATCCCATTTCACATAAAGGAAAACATGAAGTATCAAAAAAGACTCCTCACAGGGCACATACTTGAATAATAACTATTTCTAGCCAGGGAGTACAGGGGAATCTGGAAAACAGCAGCAAGTGCATGCTGGTTTTGTAAACATAGGAAATGATCACTTCCAAACTTTCAGCTGCTTGAGGTGCTAGCCACCCATATATGACAAACCTAGCAGGGAAGAGTCACCGTATTAGTGACACCCACAGGTATGTGGAAGGGGCAGTCATTTAGCAGTAAGCAGAGTTCCTTGGGAAGTGACAGTCTTTGCAATCACACATTCCTGGGTTACTACATTTGGCCTCTGGCTTGTACAGCACAGAGCTTGAAACCAGGAGCTCGATTATCACTGACAATGCTGATCTGGAATTTCAGGAATGGGTTGTAGTGGGTCCCAGGAAGCAAACAGCACTTAAGAAGTAAAGAAGCACACTATGCCTTTGCCAACAGAGAATGTTATGTTGCTCTGAGATGTTGCAAGAGCATGAAAGCAGTGTGGGAAAAGTGCAAACAGAGCTGGTGCAGTAGGAACTGCAAACAGAATCACATTATTAACCAGGGAGACAGGAAGATGTATGGAAATTCACACCACTCAGTGCCTGAAAATTTTCTTCAGCAAATTATTGAACAATTGGAATGTAAGCAGCTAAAGGATAACAAGGTAGTAGGAGACAGTCAATAAGTTTCTTGACAAATCAAATCACACCAAACCAACTTAACCGGCTACTTTGATAGATTAACTGTCCCTGCGGGACAAGAGAAATCAGCTAACCTACATACCCTGTACAGCTTTTGGTGTTTTCCACATGACATCCTCCCAAGTAAACTAAAGAAATCAGTATAGATCTTCACCCAAATCCAAGAAACAGCACAATAACTAGGCTTTCTTCTGATTAGTTTCTTTCTTTGCTAAAACAGAACACCAGTGTAACAATCATTACAGTAATGCCTAAAAACCGTAATAGAGATTAAACAAGATTGTACAAGACACTATACACATTCATGAAAAGACAATTCTGGCAGTGCAGAGCTACAGTCTAAACAATCAGGACAGACAAGGAAAGTATTTCACCAGCACTGTCAGAGATGGGAAACTGAGGCAGAAAAAGATTAAGAGCCTGATTTTCAAATGAGCTCAGCATATTTCTTGCTGAGCTTGCTTGAAATTCTGGCCATAAGCAACATCATGGAAATCACTAGATACTGAGCTCCTTTGAAAACCAAACTTCAATATGAAAATTTGGCCCCAGAGGCCTTTTGAAAATCAACATCAAGAGGCTTACCCAAGGTCACCCAGGAAGTCAGTGGCAGGGCTGGGAACTGAACTCACATCTTCTGACTCCCACTCTGGTGCATAACTAATGATGTCGCCCTGTGCTCTTGTTTTAATTAGCTATGGGGAGATCTCAAACCAGAGAATGCTTTTGAAATGAAAGAAAAGAAAACCTTCACAAACGTATTCAGTTCCCTTTCAGAAGCATCAGCACAATGGGCTTCTAGCAATTCACAAGCAGGAGGGATTTCTAGCTTCTGTATCAAATTTCTGTTTTCATCAGAGAACATATATAATTTGTTTACTTTACATATATAAAGGAATTCATTGGCCAACATTTTTTCTCTAATAATTTTTTTTTTTTTGAATTGCAGTATGCCTGTGACCCATACAAATATTTTTCCAGTGACAAATGAGGACAGAAAAAGGAAGCCTGAAGAGTCCAAAGGCTCCTAAGGATTAGTAGACAACCTCTGGGGCAAGGAGTGGAGACTTATGCTATTGCTTATTATTACTACATTTTTCCCTAGGTAGAGAGAGTTGTTTGAAGTGGTTTCCTTGCTAATGCAGTGGCAGAGCAAACTATTTACTTTGCATGTATATGTGGTTGCTTCAGTACCTCTCCTGCCATTCCTGTGGAACACCTAAGATGCAGCAGTCTACAAGTACTTTTTGGAACATCTTGATTTTCCATTTTTTCCCTGGCTTTGGCATCATCCATAATCTAAGTATCTAGTAATCTAAGTATCTTCCCTCACAAGACTGGAGAATACTGCAGCGATCTCAAGAACAATACAATATATAAAATTATTGCAAAGGTAGAAAACAAGCCAAGTTTGTAGTAGCTCCTTTTAGTCTAATGCATTTAGCTAAATCCTAGATGTGGAATTATTTTGTCAAAGACAGAATAACAGGTTAGCATTTCTGGTTTTATTTTTTCCATCAAAAGCTTCAGCCTGTTTTTCTACAAAAGACTATAGAGGTTAATCTGTCAGAAGAGCTCTTCAAAAGGAGGAGAAGGACATTTCCTTAACTCTCTGACCTTGGTATGCTCTGTGATCACAGGTGACTCTGCATTCACTGGGAATCTCACTGATAAAAGCCAATAAATTTTG